TTCAGGCTCTCAGTTCAGGCTCTCTGTTCAGACTCTCTGTTCAGGCTCTCTGTTCAGGCTCTCTGTTCAGGCTCTCTGTTCAGGCTCTCTGTTCAGGCTCTCTGTTCAGGCTCTCTGTTCAGGCTCTCTGTTCAGGCTCTCTGTTCAGGCTCTCTGTTCAGGCTCTCTGTTCAGGCTCTCTGTTCAGGCTCTCTGTTCAGGCTCTCTGTTCAGGCTCTCTGTTCAGGCTCTCAGTTCATGGTCCGAATTCATGGTCTGAGTTCATGTTCCGAATTCATGTTCTGAGTTGATGTTCTGAGTTGATGTTCTGAGTTGATGTTCCGAGTTCGTGTTCCGAGTTCATGTTCTGAGTTCATGTTCCGAGTTAAGGTTCTGAGTTCATGTTCCGAGTTTACGTTCCGCGTCCATGTTCTGACTTTAACTAAAAACCGCTTTGTTAAATCCGGGCAAAAGAAAAATAAAAAGCAAGTGCGAAGAGCTAACCAACTGAACCTGTGAATTCAAATTAAACAAACGTATCAGACAGAGCACAGTTAACTTTGACCCAGACTTTGATTGCCAAAAAAAGACGAATTTAAAAGACCGAAGTCTGTTAAAAATGAAGATATGTTAATTTTTAAGGTGAGGTGGACTTAAAATTTAGTCATGTTCAGACGAAAATCCGACCTGGTCTCACCTATCGCGGAATAGGAAATTTTGTCTTACAGATATGAAGGTCTACAGGACACACTCTATTGAGAATAAAAAATATAATTTTCTTTCAATGTATCAGACATTTTATTTCAGTATCGTTCATTATGAGCAGATAAAAATTGTGAAAATGTCACAAATACTCCCTTTGCTGTTCATTTTAATTTTCATTTCATTTCCCTTCATTTCTTTCAATTCTTGATTTTTTTTCGAGGAGAATTTGATGTAAATAAGAGCAGTGAAGGTTCATTGAAATACATGTCGTTGCACAGAGTGAATAGATACCATGTTTTAAAATTTTTATTAAAATAAAAACTTATTTCGCAGGTTATAAATGGTGTCTGACGATTAAGGATTCTAAGAGGACTGGGGTTACAATTCCTTGAAAACTTGTTTGATGTGTTATTACATGGGAAAAGTTTATTACAATTATAAGTTTGTAAGTATACATATCGGCAATACTTTTACTGAGATGACAAAAAGCTACATTTGCGCGAAAGGAGCTTTCAATAACGATATTTACATTTCAAATGATGTTAAACAGCAAAATCACACACATACGAACTTCTTCAGAATTATTTACTGATTAATTATTTTCATCTCGCCCACATAACATTTACTAATCCAGAAAACAATCAAAATTGACTATATGGCAGGCATATTTAAAGACAAGATTTTTATTAGCGCGATATGCATTAGAAAAAAAAACCAAAAATTGCATCTTTTTATAGCCATCTCCACAAAGGTAACAATCTTTTTTGTTATGAGACAAACATTAGATCCATGATAACATTCATATGTGGAGGTAAGAATGTCAAATTCTCGAATATATTTATGCTTCAGTTGCCTCTCTCTTGTTTGGGACGTGCTAGTCCGCTATGTTCTGATACGTCGACATTAATCGACCGACCTTTTCACCAAAAGTTCAAGTTATGTTTGTAATTTTTAGCCAAATGAAAGCAAATTTAGTTTGAGTTGACGGGGAGTTCGAGTAAACAAACTTCGAGTCAGTTGATAATAGATGCTGGAGAAAATGGGGCCAAATCTAGGGGAAATCGTATTTCCTTTGGGTAACCGAGTTTAAGTTAATAGCGAGGTAGTAACTTTCTTGTGCATGTTACGTCACGACAGCTGCGCTCATTAACTTTAATAAGTTACTAAAGGCAGGTGAGACACTTCTGCTTGTCATTTGGTGCGAAATATGGCCAGACGATCCACAGACCTTGGTTTTGAACTGGACCAGGAGTATATACCTCTTAATTTTCCGCAGGCTGACTTCCACGTCAGAATATTTACAGGATTTCACGCGTCCTCTGTTAGCTTTATTGGTGGTTTAGGTAGTTGGCATGTTAATTAGAAGTAAAACTATTACCTAAGCGTTTACAAATTAATCAATGTCTAATCATATCGGTAATTTTTTTAAATTTACTGTTACAGAAGAAATAAATTTACAGTATTTCACAGGGAATAGAAGTATATAGTTATATTTGGACTCGCTAAGGTTATAACATGTTAGTATCTCGCGTACCTTAAGGATTATCTTACATTCGGTTATTACGTTTGTATCTCGCGCACTTTTGAGATTCTCTTCTTTTGGGTTGTTACGTCAGATTCGCGTGCATTTTTGGGATTGTTTTAGATTCGATTGAAAATGATTTGATCGTGACGTAAGTATGTGGCATACTTTTAGGATTCTCTTTTATTGGATTGCTACGGTAGTATCACGTGCTCTTTAAGGATTTTCTTTCTTTCGATTTTTTCATTTGTATCACTCGCACTTTCATTGGATTGTTACTTTAGTGTATCACGCACTTTAAATGTTGTCTTTGGTAGGATTGATGCTCCGTTTCGCGCGGACTTTTAGAATCCTCTTTCATAGGTCTGTTACGGTAGTACGTGGCACACTTTAAGGAATTTGCTTCATTAACTTATTATGATAGTTTCACGTTACGATAGATTGCAGTTTACGTTAGTATCTCGCGCACTTTTAAAATTCTCTTTTATTGAATTGTTACGTTAATATCTTGCGCACTTTAGATTTTCTTTCACCTGATTGTTATTTTAGTCTTTCGCGCACGTTTAAGATATTCTTTCATCGGCCTACTACATTAGTCTTTCGCCCACTTTTACTATTGTCTTTCATCGGCTTGTCACGTTGGTACCTGGCGCACTTTAGATCATTTTCTTTCGTTTGATTGGTACATCAGTTTTTCGCACACTTTCAGTATTATCTCTTAATTGATTGGTAGGTTAGTGTTTTGTGCACTTTTAGGATGCTTCATCTTTCGAAGTTACCGGTGTTTATTTATAGGATTATTTTAGATTCGATTGCTACGTTAGTATCTTGCGCACTTTAAGGCTTCCCTTTTAATCGATTGTTACGCTGGAGACTTTTAAGATTCTCTTTCATTCGATTGCTACGTTTGTATCTTGGGCATTTTTCAGTTTCTCTTCCGATTGTACGCGATTGTTATTTCGCACACTTTAAGGCTTCTCTTGCGATCCATAGATTAGTTGATGTTTTGGAGACTTTTAGGAACCTCTTTCATTCGATTGGAACGTTAGTATCTCGCAAACATTAAGGATTCTCTTTTCATTCGATTGTTCTCTTAGTGTCAGGCGTACATTTAGGATTCATTTTCAAAGACGAAAACTCCCGAAGAAGAGTTTTACGGAAAAAAATTGCTTTTAACGAATTTCAGGACACTAAACATGATTCAAACGTGTTTTTGGTTGTGATCATGTCGAATGATACCCAATGGCGTGCACACAAGCAAGTGATTTATGAAGTTAGCTATTTTTCAATGAAACAGTAGTAATTTGAATATGATATTTTTAAACAGTCGCTTATATGGGCGAAAACTAGGCATTTTTTGGAAACCTTGGCACTAGTTTAGTATTTTACAGATTCTTTCAGATCGAAAACTGTCGTTTGTAGCAAGCTGCAAGAATGGAGAGATTCGAAAGACCCTCAAACCGTTTTTGACGTGTAATATCGAGCTGCACTTGTGAAGAATGACGGTAAAAATTATATTCATTTTGACGGCTGACGGTTACGAACCTCCATTTAAGGCTCTCGACTCAGGCTCTCATTTCAGGCTTTCAGTTTGTGCTGTCAGTTAATTCTGTGTCATTTCATACTTTCAGTTCATGTTCTAAGTTTAGGCTCTCAGTTCAGGTTCTCAGTTCAGGCTCTCAGTTCAGGCTCTCAGTTCAGGCTCTCAGTTCAGGCTCTCAGTTCAGGCTCTCAGTTCAGGCTCTCAGTTCAGGCTCTCAGTTCAGGCTCTCAGTTCAGGCTCTCAGTTCAGGCTCTCAGTTCAGGCTCTCAGTTCAGGCTCTCAGTTCAGGCTCTCAGTTCAGGCTCTCAGTTCAGGCTCTCAGTTCAGGCTCTCAGTTCAGGTTCTCAGTTTAGGCTCTCAGTTCAGGCTCTTAGTTCAGGTTCTCGGTTCAGGCTCTCAGCTTAGGCTCTGAGTTCATGTTCTGAGTTCATGTTCTGAGTTCATGTTCTGAGTTCATGTTCTGAGTTCATGTTCTGAGTTCATGTTCTGAGTTCATGTTCTGAGTTTATGCTCTGAGTTTATGCTCTGAGTTTATGCTCTGAGTTTATGCTCTGAGTTTATGCTCTGAGTTCATGTTCCGAGTTCATGTTCCGAGTTCATGTTCCGAGTTCATGTTCCGAGTTCATGTTTCGCAGGTGATAAATGGTGTCTGAAGTTTTAAGATTCTAAGAGAACTGGGGTTACAATTCCTTGAAAACTTGTTTAATGCGTTATTACATGGGAAAAGTTTACAACATATTTACATAAGTTTATTATATTTGTAAGTAGACATACTACCTATACTTTTACTGAGATGAAAAAAAGCTACAATTTCGCGAAATAACTATCAACAGCAGAATCACAATTACGAGCTCCTTCAGAAATTTTGTTATCGATAAACTATTCTCATCTCGTCCAAACAACGTTTATTAACGTAAAAGACAATCAAAGTCAAATAAATGGTTAGCATATTTAAAGAGAAGACTTTTATTAACGCGATTTACAAACAATCGATTGCATCTTTTAACAACCATCTCCATAAAGGAAACAATCCACGTTCACTTATGGAGGTAAGAATCTCAAATTGTCTGATGGAGTTATGCTTTAGTTACCTCACTTTACTGATTATGATGTGTAAGTCCACCATCTCCTGAAAAATATATTTTCAGCTAAACTTGGAGGGATAAGGGTAAATTAGAGCAAAGTGAAAGTAAAATTAGTTTGAGTTGACGGGGATTTCGAGTTAACCGACTCGGAATCAGCTGGTAATAGATGATAAGGAAAGTGGGGTCAAATCCAAAGGACATCGGATTCTGTAATTTTTGTAATTTTGTGATTTTCGGATTTTCTTTTGGTGCATTTTACTTCACGATAAATGCGTTCATTAACTTTAATAAGTTACTAAAGGCAGGTGAGACACTTCTGCATGTCAGACGATCCACAGACCTTGGTTTCGAACTGGACCAGGAGTACATACCTCTAAATTTTCTGCAGGCTACATCCAGGTCAGATCCAAGCAGCACCTCGGCTTCTGGGCTACTTTGCCGTGCTACGACCTGGTACGTTTACGTTACCTTTAAACCTTGCCGCATTCCATTTACGCAGCTCTTGTTCATAAATGCATTTGTTAAAAGAAGTGAACTGGCCAAGCAAGTTTACTTCCTGTTCATATTCATGATCGTAGAGAAATATCGTAATTTCCGTGAGGTGGTAGAAGATCCGAGAATCTTTTGAATGCTATTTAATTATAAATGTTATATTAAGCAAGAATGACCATCAAATACAGAAAATCTCATTTTCCTTAAATATGAGTTTGTCGATTTTTCTCCTTTTTGTAGGAACTTCGAGCAGTTCCTTCTCTACTCTCTTCTTCACCACCAGTTTGGAAGGTGGTGTTAGATTTTTAAAGCAGGCTGTGGTCAGTTTTTTAGCATTTAATGCCTGACGTAGCACTTCAAGGATGACAGTTTCATTGGACGCAAGCATTGTGGAGGATAGTTCGTTAGTATTCTAATTACATTTATTTCTTGGAGCAATATTTACAGGTTTTCAAGCGCCAACTGCTAGATTTAGGACTAGTCTAGGTGGGTCACATGTTAGAAGTAAAACTAGTATAAGATCGTTAATAAATTACATATAGTCTAATTATGTTCTTAATTTTTTTTCTAATTTTACAATTTACAGGGAATAGAAGTACAAGGTTATCTTAGGATTCACTAAGGTTTTGACATGATGTCAAATAAATGGTTAATCAACGCGCACGTTGAGGATTGCTTTCGTGGTAATATAAAGTTTACCTTACCTTACCTTTCGTCAGTTTCTCGCGCACTTTTTGGATTGTTTTAGTTTCGATTGTTACCTTCTATGTCGCGCACTCTTTAGGATTGCCTTCATTCACTTGTTACGGTAGGATCTCGCGCACTTAAAAAATTATCTTTCATTGGATTGTTACGTCGTTATCTCGCGCACTTTAAGATTATCTTTCATTTGATATCTATGGTAATATCACGTGCACTTTAAGGATTCCATTTTATTCGATTTTTACATTAGTATCTCGCGCACTTTTAGAACTCTCTTTCATTGAATTGTTACGTTGGTGTCTCGTGCTCTTCGAATATTCTCTTTCATAGGGTTATTTGGTTCGTATCTCGCGCTTTTCTAGAATTCTCTTCCATAAGTTAGTTGCGTTAGTACCTGGCAGATTTTTAGGCTTATCTCCCGATCAATTGATTCGTTGAGTGTTAAAGACCTTTAAGATTCTCGATTGTTACGTTGGAATCTCGCATTCTGTTAGGATTCTTTTTCATTCGTGTTTTACATTAGTTTATAATATGAACTGCTGTGTTTTAGTTTGTAATGTGAACTACGGTGTTTTTCAAGAATCTCCAGCCTTGAGAAAAGCCGTAACAACGCACGTGAAAAAATACGATACTTTTTTTACGTGTGTTTGATATTGTCAATCAGCTGCTTACACGTCACTTGCCTCTCGCGTCGGTCAGGTTGACAAATAAACGGCATAGTCTTCACCGTTCTCAATCCAAGGTGGTTGGTCCGAATTTTTTTCCGATTATGGTTGCCAAAACACCAAAAAATTTGTCTCTTTTACGGACAGTGACGGTCGAACTTTCCTAGAAGGGGAAGAAAACCGAAATACGAAAAGAGAAACCGAAAGTTACGTATTCAATGGCCGTGGTAATGGCATTTCTTGCGGCTGAATTTTTTACGTTAAAAGTTGCGCCCATTGTTTGTTTTTGTTATGATTTGACGCATGTTTTCATCTTGAGCTCGAGTGCGCCAACGCAATTTATGATTTTATCGGGGATTATCGATCCTTTTATTTTCATTAAGTAATAAAGTCGACTGTTCTCGCCGGTAAATGGCTATTGTGTTTGTATGATTAATAAAATAATACATGCTTGCTCGTGGATATGAAATTTCTTTTCTCGTGTTCAATTCGACATTTCACTCGTGATCTATTGAGTTAAACACTCGAAGAGAAATTCCATATCTACTCGCGCTTTTGTATGTATTACGCACATCTTTAGAATTATCTTTCGTTCGATTGTTACATTAGTAGCACGGGTACTTTTAGGATTCTTTTTCATTCGATTGTTACGCTAGCATCTCGCGCATTTTAAGCTACTCCTTCATTCGAAAGTTACTTTGGTGTCTCGCACATTCTTAAGCCTCGTTCAAACGGTCATAGGAACCATCATGCACTATTATTGACTATCATTGACTATCATGGAGTTTGTTCATATTCATATTCCACATGATAGTTCATGATAGTTCTTGCAGTTTTAACGAGTCAATGATAGCGAATGATGGTTTTTCAGTCGGCAGCATTGCCAAAAAACGAGCTCAAACCGAAATGGTAAATTGACTGAAATAAAATTTATCAGAATGTCTCCTGATTCTTTCCAATCATCTCCTAGTAGGCTTCAGTATCTTCAACTGGCAACTTTTTTGGCTAATTTCAAATGCCACCGAAATTGCTGACCTCAGCGCGCGCAAGGAGTGTCTTACATTCGATTGTTACGTCAGTTTCTGGCGCACTTTTAGGATTTACTTGTAATCGATTGTTGCGTTGATATCTTGGGTACTTTATGATTTTCTTTCCTTTCCTTTCCTTTTCCTTTCCTGCTGTTCTTGCATTCCATTTCATTCGATCATATGCTAGTCTCTCCTGCACTTTAAGGATCTGAAGCATAGATCAAGTATAAAAACGCTGTGATCTCGTGGGAATCATTAATGTAGCGGCGAAAACTATTGATTTTACGATAAAAAATACTTTTGGCGGCTTTCAGGACAATTGACATGATTCAAACGTCTTTTTGGTTGTGATATTGTCGAAGAGTACGGAATGGCGTGTGTACACAAGCAAGTCATTAATGAAATTAGCTATTTTTGCAGTAACAAGGCATTGATTCGAATATTAAAACATTTTCAAGCTGTTGCTTAGATGAACGAACATCAATAAAAATGACCGTAAACTGAAAATGTTTCGAAACATAGAGACAAGCTGTTAACTGTTGTAAGCAAGCGGCTAGAATTGAGGGATTCGGAAGACCTTCAATCTGTTTGACGGTTGACATTAAGCTTCATTTGTGACAGCTGACGGTAGAAATCTATCTACTTTAACGGCTGACCGTTAATCCCTTCGAGAACCACATTATAGGCTCTGAGTCCAGGCTCTCATTTCAGGCTCAGTTAATTTCTCGGTTCATGCGGACAGTTCATGTTTTCAGTTCACGCTCTCAGTTCACGCTCTTGGTTCAGGCTCTCGGTTCAGGCTCTCGGTTCAGGCTCTCGGTTCAGGCTCTCGGTTCAGGCTCTCGGTTCAGGCTCTCGGTTCAGGCTCTCGGTTCAGGCTCTCGGTTCAGGCTCTCGGTTCAGGCTCTCGGTTCAGGCTCTCGGTTCAGGCTTTCGGTTCAGGCTCTCGGTTCAGGCTCTCGGTTCATGCTCTCGGTTCATGCTCTGAGTTCACGTTCCGAGTTCACGTTCCGAGTTCACGTTCCGAGTTCACGTTCCGAGTTCACGTTCCGAGTTCACGTTCCGAGTTCACGTTCCGAGTTCACGTTCCGAGTTCATGTTCCGAGTTCATGTTCCGAGTTCATGTTCCGAGTTCATGTTCCGAGTTCATGTTCCGAGTTCATGTTCCGAGTTCATGTTCCGAGTTCATGTTCCGAGTTCATGTTCCGAGTTCATGTTCCGAGTTCATGTTCCGAGTTATCTTCTGCGTTTAAATACAAAAAAAGTATCGGGCTGAGCACAATAAACTACGACGCAGACTGGACACACTTAGAGCTGTGACTTTTATCGCATACAAGCAGATTGAAAAGATCGAAGTCTGTCACAAATGTAGATCTGTTAATTAATAGGGCCAGACAGAGTTGTAATTTTGTCAATTTTGTTACACAAAAATCTGAGCTGGTTTTACCCATCCCTGAGGAGCAAATTGGGCCATACAGATATGGAGGTCTGCAGGGCGCTTTCCTGGTAAGCACACAATATGGATCATTGTAAAATCACAATGGGATCGTTGAGGGTTGATCTGTATCTGAAAAAATCAGAAATTATATTTAAGCACTCAGTCGTTATGAGCAGATAATTTTATCGCTGAGCACCTGTAAATCACTCAGATATAGTCCGATAAAAATTATGAAAATGTCACAAATACATCTTTATGCTGTTCATTCACAACTGATATTCCTTCACTTTTGTCAATTATTGATTGGTTTCATCAGAGATTAATACATGGACGCGCGTGGATATGAAGTTTCTCTATTTTGCTTGTCATATAAACACAATATTGGCGAGAAAAGTCAACTTTATAAACGAATGAAATAAAAAGATCGACAATCCTCCCCAAAAAAATTATGAAGTGCGTTGGCGCTAGGACTCAAGATGAAAAAATGCGTCGAATTATTACAAAAACGAACAATGGGCGTAGTTTTCTACTTGCAAAATCTCAGCTTTGACGTGGTCCTTACCGACAGCAGAAATCTTTCAGGTACACGGCCAAAATCGGCCTGTGGCAAATCTTCTGACAGTCGATTTTCGATCTCAGCGAAGAGAAATGCCATTACCACAGCCACTGAATACGTAACTTTCGGTTTTTCTTTTCTTATTTTCGTTTTTTTCCCTGTCTAGAAAAGTTTTCAACGTCACTGTCCGTAAGCGATACGGAATTTTAAATTGTTTTAGCCGCCATAATCCAAGAAATTCTGACAAATGACCTTGGATTGAGATCGGTGAAGACTTTGCCGTTCATTCATCAACCTGACCGAGTGGCGCGAAAGACGAGTGAAGCGAAAGGCGCGTGACGTATCAGCGCTGATTAACGATATCAAACGCACGTGAAAAAATCTCATTTTTTCACGTGTGTTGTTACGGATTTTTTCAGGGATGTAAATCCTTCTAAGACACCGTAGTTTGTATGATAAATAATAGTAATGGAGCTTCACTGAAATACATGGCGTTGCGCACAATGAAGTATAACCATGCCTACAATTAAAACTTATGTCCCAGGTTACACATGATGGCTCTAAGAGGATTTGAGTCACGGTTATAATTCCTTGAAAACTTATTTTTGTAAAATGTAATAACATGTGTTAATCATTAGGAAAAATGCATCACAATCATAAATTTGCACGTATTCATACCACCTATACTTTCACTTAGATGAAAAAGTCTACAATTGTGCGAAAGGAGCGTTCAATACCGATAATTGCATTTTAAATGACGTTCAAGAGCAGAATAAAATAAAGAGCTCCTTCAGACATTCATTTGCTGAAAAATTGTTTTCATTTCGCGCAAATAACTTTCATCAACGCAGAAGAAAATCAAACTATTTTAAAGGGCAAGGATATTTAAAGACAAGTTTTTTATTAGCGCGATTTGCACTCAATTGCGTCTTTAATAACCATTTCCATAAAGGTACAATCTTTTTTCACGAGACAAACATTAGATTCATGATAACGTTCATTTATGGAGGT